GGTCAATGACACAATGGACTCGGACCTCCTGACCTGGTTTCCTCAAATGATTGAGTTTATAGGTAAGCCAAAGCAGGCCTACCCAACGCTTCCAGGCAATGGTTGATTCTTTTAAACACTCAAGACCAACAGCCTGCTGTTAAAATTAAAAGAGATTTGTATGGCGATGAATCTTCAATTTCCATGAAAATCTTTAAAATATGATGTCAATAATGAATAGGAGATTTCAAACTAATTATTTTTAATGACTTTGTTTTGACGAACTTTTAGAGTGTTGTACTGCGATAGGGGTAATAAGGGGAGAGACTGCAATCAGGTTAGTACAAAATAAAATTAGTAAAACAGAGTATGGTTAAACCTGAAAAAATAAACGCAACAAAACAGCGAACGTGTCGGCAGAAAGCCTTCGTCAGCGAACAAAACAACAGAAAAAACGTTATAAAAATAAGAAATAGCACTTAGCTGGTAAGTAGTATCTGTGGGCAGCAATAGAANTTGAAAGGCACATTGTGTTTGTCTGTAGTTGAAAGGCACATTGTGTTTGTCTGTAGTTGAAAGGCACATTGTGTTTGTCTGTAGTTGAAAGGCACATTGTGTTTGTCTGTAGTTGAAAGGCACATTGTGTTTGTCTGTAGTTGAAAGGCACATTGTGTTTGTCTGTAGTTGAAAGGCACATTGTGTTTGTCTGTAGTTGAAAGGCACATTGTGTTTGTCTGTAGTTGAAAGGCACATTGTGTTTGTCTGTAGTTGAAAGGCACATTGTGTTTGTCTGTAGTTGAAAGGCACATTGTGTTTGTCTGTAGTTGAAAGGCACATTGTGTTTGTCTGTAGTTGAAAGGCACATTGTGTTTGTCTGTAGTTGAAAGGCACATTGTGTTTGTCTGTAGTTGAAAGGCACATTGTGTTTGTCTGTAGTTGAAAGGCACATTGTGTTTGTCTGTAGTTGAAAGGCACATTGTGTTTGTCTGTAGTTGAAAGGCACATTGTGTTTGTCTGTAGTTGAAAGGCACATTGTGTTTGTCTGTAGTTGAAAGGCACATTGTGTTTGTCTGTAGTTGAAAGGCACATTGTGTTTGTCTGTAGTTGAAAGGCACATTGTGTTTGTCTGTAGTTGAAAGGCACATTGTGTTTGTCTGTAGTTGAAAGGCACATTGTGTTTGTCTGTAGTTGAAAGGCACATTGTGTTTGTCTGTAGTTGAAAGGCACATTGTGTTTGTCTGTAGTTGAAAGGCACATTGTGTTTGTCTGTAGTTGAACGTTTGAATCCATCAAGATTTAAAATGGCCGTCGACAGGATCCGTGCTATTGACAATGTTAACCAATCCATCTTGCAACGTTTTATCCAGACACACTAACATAGAGCATTACCTGTTTTCATGTACCTCAATGATGACCTAACTATTCTCTTCCTCAGATAATGTGGCAGCTGAAAATGGGAAAGTACTTGTGCACTGTCGTGCAGGGGTCAGCCGGTCAGCCACGGTGTGCATAGCTTACATTATGCAGAAACAAGGGCTGTCTTTTGACTCGGCTTTCGAGTTCGTTATGTCCAAAAGACCCGTGATTGACCCAAACCTCAACTTCATTCAACAGTTACAAAGGTTCGAAACCTCGCTCAAATCAAAACAGCAGCCACCTGTCAGCTCAACGTCCACAACATTTTCCTTCCAGCCCCAGTCCGCCCCCCTGCCCCCAAGACACCAAGGACCTAATGTGTTTAGTTTCTCCACTGAGAATTTACATTCTGTTTCCAACCCTGACCATCAAGACATGGAAGTGACGTCTCCGAAAGAAGAATCGTTCTCTCACCGTTTTGATCAGGAACCGAAACCTTCATCACAGCAACCTGTGCTTTCTACCTTGCCGCTTCCTCAAAAACTCAACCTCTCCCCATCGAGTATATCCCAGACAGCGGCGTCGCCCAATCCCATCAAGTGTTTGGGTCTCCCTGCCTCCAGGCCGGGGTCGCTGCCTCTCCTTCAGGTCAGCACTCATCTGCCGTCGAGACCAAGAACTAAAGAGCATCACCATGTCTCATCACTGCTGCCATCTCCGACCCGCCGAGTGCCTTATCCTATTGCGCCGATGATAGACATGCTGCAGGGACCACACGAAGCAGAGGAGGCATTTGCTGGGAATTATGGGAGTGTTCCGAAAACTCCTCTGCCCAATCGTACATTTTCGTTCTTCGGGGGTGACATTGTGACCTGCCAGGCATTGACTATACCGCTGGATATGTCACCGCGCCAGTGTCGTCCAACCACCCCAACCGCCTTAGATGGGAGCTCTTCACCTTTTTTAGGTTCTGACCATCCTTTCCCAACAGTGAGTGTGACCCATTCACCTATATCCCCTATGGGGGTGCCCTTGTCACCCTTGCCGTCCTTTGGATGACTCGGCGGATCAAAAATTGACAGGCAAGGAGAATTTGTATCTGTCATCGATCAAATTGATCGATGACAGTTAATCCAATGGATCCAGGCAAACTAAATCCACTGGATCAATCCAATGGATCCAGGCAAACTAAATCCACTGGATCTGAAGTTGGTTACTTGCATCCAAAGATACAGAGTTCTGACACGGGTGTTTGAAAGTGTTCATTAAATTATTTGAGCTTTTGATTGAATTTAAATGATGAAATGACAGAGTCCAATATTCCTATATCTTCTTGTTGTTTCAGGGTAAGACATGAGCAATGATAGAACATTCCATTACCTCTTATACTTGTAATGTTTTTTATTGCAAGATTGAAAACGTAGACAAGAGATGTGACTTTGAGTGCTGTGTGCATTCAAAAACTAACTTGTAGAGTTGTTTGTTTTTTTTTGCAATTTCTCTTTATAGTTGAATTAAATTTAAAAAATTTTAAAAAGAAAAAAAAATATTTTTTTTAAAGTTATATTAAGTTAACATTTAAAATGGACCAGCATAATCTGGTATTTTTTATGTGGCAGAACCCAGACACAAATTGTTCCTGCTAACTTTTCATTATGTTAAGAGGAACATGGAAATATATCAACTATCAACTCACAACTTTTTTGTAAATAACAAAATGGTAGGGGAGTTAAATATTTGAAATTTGTGCTAAGTGGGAAACAAGAGCAGATAATCTTTCAGTTTCAGGAAGTGTGTTGTTAAGACCACAATTCACAATTTTACCACTAACCAAGATGATTTTTTCTTTAAAAATGTGTAATTAAAAAATATGTGGGATAAATATGTTGGTTACAATTTAATATTTAAAAACAAAATTATTTCATTTAAATTAAAACTATTTTTCACTCCCAATCTTCTCGTTTACGAAATAAAATAAAACAAATTTTGAAATAATTTTTTTTTACAAAGATTATTTCAGATAATTCCTCTACTTGAAACTAGTTTCTTGACTTGGTTTACAATTGTAATGTCCTAAAGCTATTGAAGGTTGTGATATCAGCATGTAGTTCTACTGTACCCAGAACCGGCATCTAATTTCACCATGAAAAAAAAAAGTAATGTTAGAGGAGAGCAGCAATTTTAAACTATTTTTGTATAAACTTGGCTGACCAGTGATTTCATGTTACCTGTGTCGTTACAGGGATCTTTGGAAATGTGTGCATTTGATTCATACCTTGAAATTTAATTTAGGGTTTTGTAGTACACATTTTACATCGGAGATAATTAAAAAGTTTGTACCTTGAAAAGTAGCTTACAAGTTGCCATGTAAGTTGCAGCATTAAAATATGTCAAAAAAATGTGTACATTTTATCAAATAGATGAGCTTACCTCTATTTTCATTTCTACTATATTTGTTTAAATTAATGATTTTTAATTATTAATTGTTGAAATTGGAGAAGCTTCTGCATTGTATAATTTTGAAATACTTTCTATTAGCATATGCTTTGCTTTCTAGATAATAATGCCATAATGATGGATTCTTTTTTTTAAATACTGTTAACTTTAATGAATTATCTGGGGAAAATCTTATCGCGGCAGTTTTATTTTATAATGATGGTAGTGAAAATATCGCCTCATATACCACACATTACTACTCATATTTTATGATCATTTGCTTTGAGAGTCTTGCTTGCTTTCTTGTTTGTTTAAACAATTTCAACAACCAGATTAACTGGGTCAATCTCTCTAAAATGTGCTCTGTAAATTTGTCCTATGATCTGAAACAACTGGCCCTGTAATGGAAGGAAATAAAATGCTATTGCTTTCAAAGATCTGATTACTGAACAGGTTAGCGCTGACAACGAATGTATCAATGACATAATTCCCTTTTGGACAAAATATATATGAGACGCACTAATTTATGATAATTAACTTTAAGCAGCAAGCAAAGTAAGAAACGAGAATATTTTTTAATCATAGTCATAATCAGTTCACATTCATAATCATAATTACCAGATTTTATTTTCGAAAGCTGAATGCCTCTTAGCAAAGTAGTGCAGCAAAAAAAAAATTATTTTAAAATAAATCAAGTTTCAGCTTCATACACAAAACGGGAGTTACATCAAGGAAGTAATATCAAAAATAAAATTCATAAGCGAGAAAGTTTTATTATAAATGAAAAGAGCACATAATTCAGCAAACATATCAAGCGAATGTTTCTTAGTAGTTGTCTTCCTTTACTTCATTTTGCTCTTCCGATGTGTCGTTTTCAGCATCGCATCGTGATGTAAGAAATTAAAATGATTTTCAGCACACCAAATAGAACACTTCTATGTACACTTATATACGAATGTAGAGAGATTTTCATTAAACTTTTTTTCGGTTTTTTTTTTTTTAACGACCCTTTCAGATGATTAAAAAAAAATGTTTATTTCGATATCTGATGCTTGATTCGTACTACGTTCCGCGATTCATCTGTCTAGAACTAGGTTATACGTCACAGTCGCCTCTCTTCGCTCTCAGCGTGCGTTGCGTCGCCGGGACACATCGGATTTTACGACGCCATTTTATGTGTAACTTTTGAAAAGTATTGTGAACGCGAGAGGATTTCTTGTTTGATCTACTCTAATTCCAACGTGAAATAGTTTTTTTAAAGCTAAATATGTAGATAAATATTTAAATTTAATTGAACAGTTAGTGTTGTAATATAGTATAAAGTGCTACTGATCCGGACATCGATCATGGAACATAGTATAAAATGTGAGACAGACGTTGCCGGAACGGACAGTGATAGCCAGACGAGCTTTACTTTGCCTGTACGAGCGGAGTTTAAACGCAATAGAAGAAGCATTAATCTCGACCTAAAAATGACTGTTCTACGTCTGTATGAATCGGGCCACCAAGGAATTGAAATAGCCCGTATGCTTGGTTTGCCAGCATCCACTGTCAGGACTATACGTCAAAATGCTGACAAAATCAAAGCGGGTGCAAAAAATGCGACACCGTGGGTTGCAAAGAAGATTACACGCAGCAGAAGTGTGCACATGGAAACGATGGAATCATTATTAGCTTCGTGGATTGAAGATCAAAATCAAAGAAATTCGCCTCCTGGCACCGCAGCGATCCAGATGAAAGCGAAATCTATTTATGATTGCCTAGTGGCTGAAGATGGGGGCTCAAGTAAAACCGAAGAGTTCGGCGCTAGTCGGGGTTGGCTGGAGCGCTTCAGGAGGCGAACAAATCTTAGCTCCATTAATTCCCAAGGGGAAGTTCTGAGCAATGATACATCTGTTGCCCAAAGATTTCCAGAAGAGTGGCAAAATATTATTGAGGAGGGTGGCTATTCCCCAAAGCAAGTGTTTAATGTGGATGAAACTGGTCTCTACTGGAAACGTTTGCCATCCAGAACCAGTGTGTCAATGGCTGAAAAAAACGCACCAGGTTTCAAAGCTTCAAGAGACAGGCTGACAATCATTCTTGGAGGCAACGCCGAAGGAGACTTTAAGTTCAAACCCATGGTGGTGTATCACTCTCAGTCACCCAAAGCATTGAAGGGCTACTCAAAGGAACACTTGAGGGTCACATGGAGAAGCAACAAAAAGTCCTGGGTGACCGGTACTCTGTTTGAAGAGTGGATCAATGCCTATGCCGTACCGGCATTGAAAGACTACTGTCTTAGAGAAAACCTTCCCTTCAAAATTCTGTTTGTTTTAGATGGTGCTCCCAGTCACCCTCCGCATCTTTTGAACATATCGGACGATTTGAAGTTTGTGTTCCTCCCTTCCAACACCACCTCTCTTCTTCAGCCCATGGACCAGGGTGTCATTAAGATGTTCAAGGCCTGCTACCTGCGCCATACCTTCCAGCAACTTCTAGATGCTTGTACTGGGGAAGGTAAGCCAACTATGAAAGAGTTCTGGCTTGAATATGACATTCTCATGGCTATTGACAATATAGCAGATGCCTGGGACGAGGTAAACAAGTCTTGCATGAATTCAGCCTGGGAAAAACTTTGGCCGGAGAGTGTTGCTGATTGTGATGGTGTGGAACAAATTTTTATTGAGATAGCCATTATATGCAAACAAATCACAGATATGGCGCAAGATGCAGGCTTTACTGGAATGGGAGAAGGTGATATACAAGATTTGTTAAATTCACACAGAGAGGAGCTTTCTCCTGAGGACTTTCTAGAGCTAGAATCACAAAGAGCTGTAGAAGATGAGGAGGAAAGCTCTGCTGTGGCCACTGCATCCAGAGTTTTTACTGTTAAACGACTAGCTGAATTTTTCAAACACATTGATGCTGCCATGGCCATCATCAACGAGGATGATGCCAATAGGGAGCGAAGTTGCAAGGTTGCCAGGGCAGTAGCCAATGAAATCATTTGTTACAAAGACATTTATGTGGAGAAAAAGAAGCAGAAGAGGGCAGAGCGAAATTGGTCCAGAAAAGATGAAGGAAACTAGCTCAAGCGTGTGCATAAAGTAGGGGGAACAATAAGTTACTATAGGGATTTTTCTTATAAATTGAATCACATTTTAATTCTCTCATGGAAATTTCATTCTACTTTCTCTTTGTGAAAGTAGACAAAATTGTTTTAGCAAGAAAAATGTTATTTTCTTTTCACGGTATTTTAAGCATACATTTATTCAATATCAAGGCTGGTCACGGCAGCTTTATCTTTCAAACTGGGCTTTTTTTTTTAAAAAGCATTAAAATATCTTTACCATAACACGTTAAAAAAAAACAATAATTTGACATAATATGTGGCCTCTTCCAAATGTAGTATGTTGCTCTAATTAAAATTAATAATAATTTTCATTAGTGCCAATGTTGTACTCATTTATTTTTGGTGGAAAAAAATCAAATACCTTTTTAAAAAATGTTAATTTTTCATTTAAGAATAATAATTTTAGTTTATATGGTCATGGAAAGTATTTGTGTCTGAATTTTGTAAATAAAAAAACTCTGTATTTATTTAACTGCATAATAATTAGATGCAATTGTTCATACGGTGTCATTCATTTCAAATTATCCATTGTTCTGTATGCAATAATGTTAATGTATTCAGCATTTAAAAAAGAATCCAAGCATTGTTAATAATTGTAAAAGATTAATTGCATGTTGTTGTTTGTTTGTTTGTGATTGAGCTGCACGCAGTTTGGAATATAATGACAAGACAATTGTAAAAAAATCCTTTCATAAGACAAGAGTTTGTGATGAATCATAATTTACTCTGTTTCTCAATACCGGGTACCATGTATGATAAAGCTTGTCTGTGTGGAAACATCAATTATGAATAATTTGCCTTACTCACTTGTCTTGTTGTGTGCATATGAGAAGTGCATGGTTTTAATTTATTTCCTTTGACACCTGAACATGATGCCTCTGATTTCATAGTTAAAAGAGAGTAGATATTCTAGTGAATGTATTTGGAAAAAATTGGATGAAAAAAATTTCATATTGATTCTAATACAACGAGATAGATCAGTTTTTTTTATTAAGATAACTAATTTAAAACTTTCATGCTTTTATGTTGGGACAGTTCAATGCAGTATCAATTTTAAAAATGGTATTAAATTGTGTTCGCTTCAGGTACTAGCAATAGGTAATCTTTACAACACTACCATTGCAGTATAATTTTATAGTAAAAATATTCATCTTCAATTTCAATCATGTTATTGAAATTTCTTATCATTTTAGCATCTAGGAAAGTATATAGAATCCTTAATTTATTATGAGTGTAAGTGTACGCTTCAAGTTACATGGTAAGGATAGATCTGTGGTACATTTTAATGTTCAGATTATCATTTAAATTTGTGTAAGTAGCCATTATTGAGGCGGGGGGGTTCTGTGTTATTTTGTTCATGTCTGAGAATGAATGACCTGATGTGAAAACCACCTAGATCACAATGACCTGATGTGAAAGCCACCTAGATCACAATGACCTGATGTGAAAGCCACCTAGATCACAATAAGCGAAAGTGTTAGCATAATAAAATACAATGGGGAAAGTTGACTTCACTATTTCCACCAAATTACTGTTTTTCATAGATGGTCCCATTCTGCTGGTTCACTCTATGAAATATGATTGTAAATGATCGTCACACCAGATATGATTGTAAAGGATTTTCATACAACTCAGGGAATGTTTCACTCGACATTTCTTTTTTTCTTTTAAAATCCTGTATAATTGATGATTAATGGGTCATTGTTATTGTTAACATTGGCAATATGATAACATTTCAAAGTATCATCAGTCTCATGTGACATGTTGTTCAAAGTATCATCAGTCTCATGTGACATATTGTTCAAAGTATCATCAGTCTCATGTGACATGTGCTGTTGATGAGCCGCTCTGTCGGAAATTAATATTCATATTTTTTAATGAAGAGATCTGTTATCCGTGAAGCATCTTATTTAAATAATAAGAGATGCAATCCACTTTGTGATTCTACAATAATATGGTGAATAACAACAGTGTCAAACATGGTCGAACGTTATTTGACATGCCATGACTTCTACTGAGTCTACTCTACTAACTGTTTCACTTTTACACGAAAATATATTTGAATGCTGAAAGAAATTGAAATTGTTTGGAAAACAAAATTTTCTAAACTTTTTTTCTTACTTTAACACAAAAAAATGTGTAACACCTGTATAAACTGTGACCAGGGGGCAATGTGCTTGTTCTGTATAAGAAATAAAACATTATTATTGCTATGAAATTATCTAAAACACCCTCTGAAATCCTAAGCAAAGGGAGATCACTCCATGTTATAATATTTTATAGTTTTTTTTACAACTGAACATAAACATTTTCTTGACAAAACACGCATAGAACATTGAATGACCATTTCACAAAGGTCTGGTTTAACTTATTTTAAATGACAAATATATTTGCTGCAAAGAATGAAATTATACGTTTTTAAAATGTCCACTTAATTTTAGAAGCGTTTATATCTCTTTTGTACCTGATCCTGGGGTTAATTTGTGACAACTGGCAACAGAAATCAAATCCAAGCTCGGCAGCTCTTCATAATTATTATGACGGGTGTTACCATCGGTGGACCACAACAGTAGTGGTAACAGTACCGGTACATAAACTTGTACAATGTTGTTCTGTGTAAAGTTGTTATTGTTATCATCATGTCACCTACGCTGGCAGTTATTGCATCTGTTAGTGTTATCATCATGTCACTGATGATGGCATTTATTAAATGACACCGTGACATTGTCAGTGACTCAATGTTGGGGGGGGGGGGGCAATGTGTTGCCACACTGCAATAAAACGTGGCACGGTCAAGTATGCAAGTGAGATGTACATAGTGAATTCATAAATTAAGGACTAGATTATTTTTTCGTCTGTTGTGATACACATTTCTGTTTCAATGAAATTGTTGGCTGATGCATTTCTCCATTCAACTTTGGACATAAAAATGTTTCCTATTTATTTCCATATCTATTATTAATGCTTATATTTACTGTATATATCATTAAACAAATTGGTTTGCTTTAATTTAATATTTTGTTTTTCTTTCAAGACTATCTTATTAAATATAACTAACGTAATGGACTTAGCCGCCTCCGCTGGGCAGAGTTGATTCTTCATTTTAAAACTCATTAAGGAGTTCCCTGAGCTACTTTGTTGAAAGACTGAATCAACTCATACGTGTTGCACACGTGTAGCAAAACCTCCCTGCCGTCTTAAGAATCTACTCTCGTCTTGTATGGCAACTGTAGATCAGCGGTTCTCAACCTGTTTAGTCGCGACCCCTTCGGGGGTCGAACGACCCTTTCAGAGGGGTCGCCTAAGACCATCGGAAAGCGCATATACTCTACAATTATGAAACAGCAACGATAATAATTTCGTGGCTAGGGATCGCCACAACATGAAGTACTGTGTTAAAGGGTCGCGGCATCAGGAAGGTTGAGAACCACTGGTGTTGATGTATTATCGTTAGCATTTCGTTAAATTCAAATGAAACCGAGACAATTTTTTTCTGCCTTTGGTGCTGTCAACGCCTCTGATATTTCCTGTCTTGAAAGTGGTTCCCTCATGGTACGTTGCTAGTACTAGTCAGAAGTCACGTGACTGAGAAGTCGGTCTCGCGTTGTTGCTTTTTTTTTTTTATTCCAGATGACTCCACATTGGTCCTTGACCGCTGAGGCATCGAGTATGTATTTTTTTTAATGTTGATTTTATGCTACCGGTAGCTCAGATCCCGCTGTTCACCAGTCGAGGTATCCCTGTACTCATATTTAATTAAATGTTCGAATCCTCAAAGCTGCACTCGTAGATGTACTTGACTTAAGAGAGCTGCTCAGATCTAAATAGTAATGCTTATTATCATTCATTACCGGTAGTGGATTGCAGGATGGAACCACAGAACTACGATATATGTCTATGGATCCAACATGACGACTGTCCATCGCAGTTCCTTGGTTTAACAGGAAGTCTTCAGCGATGACCATTCAGAGATGTTTTAGAGATCAGTGGTTCTCGAAATGGGTGGTACTGTCCCCAAGGATCGGGTTGGACAGTTTAGGGAGCGCTGATACTAATAGTCTTTAAAAGATTTTTGTGGGGCGCGCTGGGACTCCCAAAGAGCCACCCCCCACCCCCCCGGGTGAGTTTATGTCCCTAAGGAAATATGAACCGAACCCTACCGATGACCGAACCCAAACTTCAACGCTACTGAGTGCGAACCGAACGAATCTACCGCAAACCTGGAACCCAAAATATTTGACGTACGGTATGTTGAGAGCATCACCACTTACACCAGAAAATGTTTTATTTTAACTACAACTCGAAAACTCAATGTGAGGCCAAACGATCTTTGTGCGAACCAAAATTATCTTCTTTTTTATCACCCCCTAACCACATCTCCCACACCCCCACACCCCCATCTTACATCCTTTCGCACATTAGCTTGATTTGTAATAAAGTTTGACAAATTAAACGACACATGGGCATCATGGCCGCCCGCAGAAAACTTTCTAGCGGGGGGGGGGGGGGGGAAAAAAAAGATAAAATTTCCAGGGGGGGGGGGGGGGGGACATTTTTTTNACTTTAATACATTTTTTGTCTAAAATTTTTTTTATCCAATCAATCCAGGGGGGGGGGGGAAGTGCCCCCCTTTGCCCCTACCTGCGGGCGCCCATAAATGGCATCGACTCTTTTTCATCCCTTGTCAGTAACATGCAGCGTTTAAAAAAAAAAAAAAAAATTTGTTGATTAAAATTATCAATCAAATGTTTTTGTTTTTTTTTCAAATGCAATATGTGCGGAGCTCGCCCCGGGTGGGGAGTGGGTGGGGGTGGCAGTACACACGTGTGTAACTACGATGACAATCTGATAATTTACTGATTAGTATCCGACTAAACTTGGCCAATAAGCACTCAAGTGATGTTAAAGTAAGGGAAGGTTGAGGCAAGCGATTCTGGGGCGGAATCCGGGTAGGTAACTTTTCAGTATGTGCAAGGGATGATGGGACATGTCTAGGTGCAGTAGATGCAAGGGATGATGGGACATGTCTAGGTGCAGTAGATGCAAGGGATGATGGGACATGTCTAGGTGCAGTAGATGCAAGGGATGATGGGACATGTCTAGGTGCAGTAGATGCAAGGGATAGATGGGACATATCTAGGTGCAGTAGATGCAAGGGATGATGGGACATGTCTAGGTGCAGT